ATTGTATTGTAAAAAGATAGAGAAAAAAAAAGGCGTCGTTCGTTGTGTCGGTTAACTTTCGGTTTTACGGTGCTAGATCGCATTATGATTATTATATGGACGAATGGCATACCTACTACGGGAATGATTTCGCCAGGAAAAGAAGTATCGATTTCAATGGACACAAACGTGTCCCAGACTGTCACGAAGCCGCAAGGGCCGATGAAGGCGGGAAGCTTGTAGTGGGACCCCTACGGGCCCCCCCGTCGACAGGCTTTCAACTTTGAAAGTCACTACCCAATGGTAGTGTCTATAGTTCGGGAAAAGGGACCTAAACCGAAACTGAAACCACTCGAGTTCTATAAGAATAGGACCTCACGGCTATTCTAAACAGAGGCGTGCACGAGAACTCAATACTGGTATGAAATATACAAGTTCACCGTGAGTCCCCTGTCTTCGCGATGGCACACCACTCGAGAGCTTTCTTCCAGTAAGAGTCAATAACATCGTAAAAGCGGGATTACCAGAATAGGTAAATCTTTAGATCCGATTATGCGGGATTGAAGGGTCACCAATGCGCGTTAATACGAAAATTACATCTCTATTACTTCCAAAAGATAATATATACTTGTACTCTCTTGGAATAATAAAATCAGATTAATTGTAGAATACTGAAAAAAATCTGCAATAGCTACCAAATATATTTTGTTTAGCATGATGATACACTATTTAATAAATATTAACAAATATAATTAGAGAAAATAGCAATTGTTTGATAAATAAAAAAAACAATTTTATCAAAGAATTTATAATTTTGCTGGATAATGTAACTATGCAGCATCATTACTTGTGATAGTTCAATAAAATTATCTTCAGATTTGTATCTAGACAAATTTTAGATTTTTCAATTAATTATTTCGTGTATAATAACTAGAAAAATAAAATAATATTTAGAAAAGTAGAATTAGAGCTTATTTGATTTTGGTTATTAATCGAACATTTGATTAAAATTCTTTCACCGAAACTTTAGTAATTGTCTTCTAAGCTTGATTATTATTATCACATTTTTTCAATGACTGTATCAAACCTATATATGAATAACAATAATAATGATAATCGATATTAATTCATCGCTAAGTGTCATCTTGAAAAGCTTCACGTTACCGTCAGTTTGTTGTAGTGATAAATTCGCGTCTTATTCGTGAAATAAAGAGAAAAATTGGTTCGCCTCGATCGAGCCTACCTGAACACCTTTAATTGTATAAATCTAACCGAACTCTCAGCCACGTCTCAGGCGCCGCCGGTTCACTTTCGTTGCCTCGCTGCAGGGCCTTTCTCGCGAGCTCTTTCGAAGGCACATACATTAGACGGAAGAGGTCTAATCCCGCGCTTTACGACGCCGCTTCGCGTGTAACTCGAAGTTATTATTGTCACCTATGACTCCCGGTCTCTTCGCCAACGTGCGCGTGTGTACGCATAAGCGCGGATTAACCGCTGATACGTTTACTATCCCGCGGAACACGGATAGCGTTCTTTCATCCGATCTCGTATACAGCGAGAGGCACCGTTGTATAATATGTACGTTGAATGTACTGATATAAATTACACACGTCACAGAACTCTCCTAAAGCTCGAACGCGTGGAACAACATCGATATCGTATCTCTCCTCGCGCTTTCAATTATCTACGAATCTCCAGACGGAAAGCGCGCTAATCGGATTTGCAATGTTGTTAAAACAAATTAGTTCAACCATGCTGCGTTTCGAGAATTGAATTTATGTGAACCGCGCGCAGATCGCGGGAGATAACGATTCTTACATTTGTTTAACCGACCGGTTATTTATCGCTCGTGTCTTATCGATATCGCACCCGTTCCGCGATTTCGCTTCCGCGCGCGAAACGACTTGCGCGATTCACGCGTATCCAGTTTGTGGAGCTGCAAACCCGGTAAACGATCCACCAGGCAGCTGGTCAAGCGCAAAAGGCACCCCACCGTGAGCTAACGTAACCGCAGCGATCAGCGGCAGCCAACGGCACTCGATTCGTAGTCCTCACCCCATAATAGACGACACGAATCGCGCTCGTTCCTTTTCAATAATGGTGACACGCGTGTCGGTGTCAACCCGAGCTGTGCTGGTACTCGCACCGCGTGTAAATGCGTGTTCTCGCCTCGACACCTCTCACGCCCGAAGTAACACACGCAAGCACGCACGTCCCCGCACGTCCGCAACATGTCCCGCGACACATTCCCCCAAATAAGGGAGGCTGCAGTAACGCCGATGGGAAGTATAATGGCCGTTCGGGTAGCCAGTCGCCTCTGAATCTCTCTTGGTCATTATGTTACCGGTCTTGTTACGGTAAACCCGGGGTGTTAACGTCGACTATGCAGCCCCTCGATGTCATCGGCGAAATGACTCTCGAACGAGGGGGGCGTGTCCCTATAATATAAATCAGGCTCGGGGCCTTGCGTCTGTTTGACGTTCTCGAAAAAAGACTGCGGTTATCAATATGGTTTGTTCTTTGTATTATAGCTACGCGCTGATATTGTCGAGTTTAGTGTAAAAGTACAAGGGTATACAAGGGCCCTGTTCTTGAAAAAAAAAATTGCATACAAAATATTAGGGAAATGTACAATGCATGTATTGTATAATAACATATATTGTAGTTTTTTTTTCTCATGATTTAATATAATAAATTTCTAATGAGATAAAAATCTTGGAGAAATCTAACTGATCTTTTAGATTGTAAGAAAAAATGCATTCAGTTTCTTGGAATGTTTAAAAAAAATTGATTATGTCATATAATAAAAAAATTTAGAAAATGTTATTTGAAATTACGATAACGTTAATTTCGATGCGTACTTTTTCAATTACGATTCCGATGTACATTGCCAATGGATTTTTAGCATTGGTAGTGTATTATGTATATCGGAACATGATTTTTAACAGAGACGAAGCTAATATCATCACAATAATATACTGTTGCAGTGACCACTGTATTATAATAGAAGCGATAGTAACGATATACGGCAGCTATATCCGCATGAGTAACATTAATATCAGGAGTCTTATATTCTCGAAGAATATTGTATACAAAAATGTATGAAAATACACTATAGTTACGTACATTATATATTTCTCCTTAATATTTTCATATATGATATTTTTCGAGAATAAGGTCTCCAGTAGACGGTCATACACAGAGTCTCAAATCGTAGAAAGTGACCAATCCTAGTCGAGTATTCTACTTATATTTGACATTCCTAGCTAGTTAAATTATCATTTGAAAGTTATAGAATAGAAGTATAGACTTACAAGTTTGGATTCCCACCTGGGTGCTCTCTGGATGTTATGTCATTTTTGTTGTTCACCGAACATTAAACAAGGATGACATGACACTCGGGAAGTACGCAGGGACCCTATTCTGTAACTTTTAACGACAATATCGATATCGTTATGTGTAATTGTGCAACTTTTTTACCATAGATTTGTACGCGTTGTATGAACCTTTTTGTACTTTTGCACTAAGTGTACACTAACTCGATTCTATTGTCGAACCCCGGTAAAAAATTATTCATGCATGAATATATATAAATATGTATAATAAACATACATAACATATATAAATATTAATAAACATATATAATTATATATGTCCATTATTTCTGTCCTTTTTCGTAAAATTATTTTTCAGTACAATTAAAATAATATTAATAAAAAGACATTAAAAGGATAATTTTCGCATTATTTGTTTTAAAAGAAATCAAGTTTAGAGAAATGTAAAAAAATTGCTGATATATTATATATAATAATTATATATATAATTAGTAATTACATAATATGTGTATATGAGCAATTTTTTTTACATTTTTCTAAACTTAATTTTTTTTAAATGAACAATGCAAAAATTGTGGCTTTAATTTTGACGTTTTCTCATTATTATTATTTTTATTACGGTAAAAAGTATAATTACAATAAAATAAAGAATGAACATGTGTTGATATTTCATATATACTTGTAATTGTACATATGTGTTTATGAATATTTATACACATTTCTGTACTTTTATATATATTATTTTTATATATTTATGCACGAAAAGTTTTTGACCTGTCATGTCATAACTGCTATTCGTGTTGCCAGTACAATTTGGACAACACTTTTTATCCTCGATCTTGAGGAAAAGTAAGCAAAGATGGCCGAACGCTAAAATGGTGAGGAGAGTGAAAAGTATGAACGTAATATTGTACATTGTTTTTAGTAATAATTACATATTAAGTTTATTGATAATTTTAATATAATTTGATATAGTTTTTAATAACTATGAAGAAAGAAGTCAACGCTAATCGTGTCGCAATTATAATTTTAATAAAATTTTTAGCATATAAAATTTAATAAAATAAACATTTTTTTCAATCTCGAAATTAGGTCATCCTTAGTATTTAAAATTATAATTAAATTATGTTTTAAACAAAATATTGAAAGGAGCATATCTAATAATTTCAATTCTTCTAATATTTCATCAATACTATTTCTATCAAGCGCCATTTTAATAAATTTATGCACGTAGAAATCAGAACAGGCCTCTGTAGACTTATTCTGTAACTTTTTAACGACAATTTTACTAGTTAGAGATTTCATTATGCAGGTATTCTATATGATGAAAAGCTTGAGACATTATTTAAGACGGTTTTAATATATAGGAACTGACTATGAACACCATTTGATTAGCTTATAATATTTCAAAGTTGTACTTAAAACCATCTTAACTATAAGAATTATGAGTATCATTATCAATAGGTACCAATAAAGTGTGTGTAAATGATAATAAATCTAGAATTGAATAATAATATGCACCCGATGCAGGGTACATATAATTAAGTACCAAAACAATCCACGCGAATAATTTAGAGTTAATGTGTTTTTGACGTTCTTATACGAAATTTGTGGAATGTTTGTGGAAGCTATCGGATCGTGTTTGCCAGACTAAATCTGGATTTTGCTGTTTTGTGGTATACGCAGACGGAAGTCGAGGACACGAGTGGCGATGGTGCGTGCGACAACGGCGTCGGCGGTCCCAACCTCGCCTGTCCTGAGGGTACCAGCGGGCTGGTCGTCGGCTCGGAAACATCGCCGAGCGTAATGGAGTGCGGTGGATGCGGCGAGCGAGTACGCGAGCGAACTATCCTCTGCGTAGGCGGACGTACGTGGCACTCCAGGTGTCTGAGGTGTAGCGCTTGTGCCAGGCCATTGCACGATCAGCACTCGTGCTTCCAGAGAGGCATGCGAGTGTACTGTAGGCACGACTACGATCGGTAAGTCAACCATCGATTGGTACTTTCACCTGAAATAATACTCGCGTTACCTTTTTGGTTGCGCGATTCGATTGGACAATTAAATCGGCTCAACGAGTTATACGTGTCAACAGAAAGAGAACGACGCGGTTGAAGGGAGAGAGAGAGAGATGGAGGGAGAAAATAGCCGCTTCTTTTTGTTCGCATCGCTGAATGAATAAGTGGAATATTTTTGTTGCCGCGCGATGCGCATCGATAGCGATGTAAGACGTACGGTCGTGGAGATCAAAGTCGACGGAACCCGCGGTGACTCGTCGATTGTACGGAAGGCTTCGGGCGCAGCCTGCCCAATGTGTTTATCCAACTGTCAATCAGTTACTTCAGTCACCTGGGTCTCTTGCACCAACTGAGCTCCGACATGAGCCCGTCGCGCTGATATCCGATCGCTGCACGCCGCATCTGGCGAGAGATGGCGAACGTCTGACGTTTGATTTCATATTAAATTCATACACGCGTTATCGCGCCAACAAGAGTGCGCCTTTGCGTGGTGCGGGAGTTGAGCGGGAGGTACAAAATAACAAATCGCTCGTCGAAAGAAATTAATTCCCTTTTCTTGCCTGAGCGAATTGAATAAGGTGTTACTCGTTAATTACTGCACGAGAGCGCGGTTCCGAGTTTTCGACGCTGCGGCTAACTCGGGCGAGCCGCCGCCGCTCGGGCCGCAACGGTATGCGGGAGGTCCGAAGGAATCTGCCGCGTAATTTTTTTGATTCGTGCTTTCTGCCTGGTAACGCTGCCATTCGATGACCCGATCGTCGGCGGGATCCCGACACGACCCGTGGACCCTGTAGACCCGTCGACAACCGTCGCCGACAACCGCCTCCGAGAGAACCATCCTCTCTTGCGCGATAATGGACAAAACGGCAAGAGAAAAAAGAAAGAAAAATATATAAGCAAGCGGGATCTTCAGAGTAAAGTATCGGACGTAAGATTTCACTTCGCCTCCGCGTCTATCTACTCTCATCTCGCATCGACATTGTAGCTTCCTTTGACGGAAAGAATAATTTTGCTGGAGTATCTAAAAATTTAATTTATGGATACAGATTTGAGAATAATTTTGTTGGATTATTAAAACAACATAGGAAGTTTAACACTCTCAATATTTTATTCTTGTATTTATTCTTGATGACGTTAAATTCTTCCTCGCTGTTGAACAATGAATCGATTTTGTCTTCGCACATTTAATCATGGATTTCATTTTTATTCCATTAATCTATTTGAGGAAAACGTTATTATCTATAAATTATTTTCAAAACTTACATTTTGTTTTGCATTCTGCAAACTGCAGCGCCTTTATTCTTCAAATTTAATTTCTTTTTATCATCTTTATTTAATATTCTACAACCAACTTTATTGTCTTTATTGTTTAATATTCTAACAAGCTTGAGTGTTCTACATAGTTATTTTAACGGTTTAATAAAATTATTTTTAAATCTATATACTGAGAAAAAACTACACATGTGACGACTATATTAAAAAATAAAAACAATTTTAAACCTAAAATTGTATAAATAATAATTAAGATTAAAAACAGGATCGTTTTTATACAAATAAATCAGCTAAACACGAAAAACACCAATTATGGTCAAAATTATATGTCAAACTAATACGCGTATGTCATTTAAATAAATTTCTACCTCAGAATAATTGCGCCTCGATTACTTTCGGACTTTCAACACAATCAGTTCGAAATACTAGATCATTAATTTGGTACTATTATTGTAGCATCTTAAAAATTATTAATAAGGAACTTATTGCAAAAAATATTACCTCGGCAAGAATTTGCAACCAGATCTCCTGTATTCCATGCAGAGGTCATCACTATTCGACCACCGAGGCTTTGGCAATACTAAAATTGTACGCCTTTAATTATTGTTAAGTCGCGAAATTTTCAAATTTTCTTTGTAACTAAATTGTGGTAGATACTTCATTGATGTGCTGTTGTACGACACAGCGTGTGTCGTAATCGCGGACGAGAGTCGCTCGAAATTCAAATCCTTCCCTAGCTTCCGACGTGGGCGTGACGGGGGATCACTTTTAGCGCCAGGACAAGGAATTAGCTGCCTCTTTTAAAAGGACAATGGGATTAGGCGCGCGTATCGGCAGATCAGGAAAGCTTAATCTTACCAGACGTCGCGCGATAGAATCTATCGTCGCGTTTCTAATTCCCTTTGTTCTCTATCTGCGTTCATAAAATAAGCATACAAGATTTCAAGAAGGCGTCGCGATGTACGACACACGTGCCTCTTTCGATAAGCTCGAGAATAAAGCTATTTCTTGGGTGCGTGCGGAAGTGCATTTATCCTCCTGCGATCCGGAGCGAGAGATTTTTCGACAACATCCGTGGCACAGGGTGGCGGCGAGGGGGAGGGTGATGACCACCGGGATAGTCGCGTGGCGACCCATAAGGTATTCGAAGCGCGCCGATGTACGCCGCAGGCATTCGCAAACACAATCCGCATAAATGCGCGGCGCGAGGGGCGGAGGGGGGGTGAAGGAACTCGGGCGGGGTATCGAATCGGATGCACTTTCCGTGTTCATGAATATGATAATGGGCTAATGGGCCGTCTGGTCGTTGTTTAATTATCGACCACGACACTCCCGGCGACACGGGCCGGCTGCTGTACCCAGGACTACGAGTGCCGTGCCGAAGGAACGAGCATCCTCACGGTCGCGTCCTACGGTAAAGTATCTATACGAGCCCCCGGCCGTGCGCCATTCATCCGATCGTGCTCGTGTGTCCACGGCCGTGGTACACGGCTACCGTTTACGGCGTCCCATCACACGAACGCAAGCATTATTTATACCGCGCTGGTATATTATTAGAATCGATCCGGCGGATTTACGTGCAAGCATGCGATACACTTTATTAGAGATCGCGGCGCGCAGCCGACTCCGCCGCGAGAGAATCTCGACGATGTACTGACCGCAACCTGTATAATTCCGGCTAATTAATGCATGAAGGCTATTGTATAATTCTCCGATCGTTTTCTCGCGCGCGCGCGCGCAACCGGGGGTTAATTAAAACGCAAGAGCTTTGGATTACCGGCGCGGGTATTGACCGGAAGGAGCGAAGGTGGTATCTCGGAGAGGGAACGATACTTTGTGTCGCGCGATATCTTCTCTCGCAGATCCTTCCTAAAGCTCGTCGGAGGGAGGAAGAAACGAAGAGCGTGCGCAGTCGAAGAAATAAACGGCCGCGAAACACGCGCCGATGGAGACCACTTGCTCCTCGACACGAATATCTCTTTTCTAAAGTCTCTTTTCTTCCTCTTCTCTATACCGCCCGTCGGCCTTCGCTTCTTCCTCTCCTTCGCCGAGATACATTCGAGCGGTTATCATTACACTCCTCTCGTGTACTCGTTCGATCGGGTATCGAGCGAGCCCGGCTATATTGGCTGTCGCTGTAATGTATATCGCAAAATAAATCCGAGACATACCACACGATACGTATATACCTACTTACATTTATAAATGATATACACCTGGCGGCAGTTTACGCAGGTAACACGAGTGCGAGTTACGCTTCTCGTGTTTTGCAGAACTTTTGGAGCAAAGTGCGCGAAATGCGGGCGCAGCGTAGGCGCTGGGGATTGGGTGAGAAGGGCCAGAGAAAGGGTTTATCATCTGGCCTGTTTCGCATGCGACGCTTGCTCGCGTCAGCTGTCGACCGGTGAGCAATTCGCCCTCCTGGACGCCCGATTGCTTTGCAAGGCGCACTATCTCGACGTCGTCGAGGGCAACAACACCTCTTCCGATGGTGAGAATGTCGCACGAACGTGCCATTGCACACGCGAGGAAGTATTAATGTAAAACAGATGTTGTGAAAACGCGTATGATATAGAAACTATCAGATTTTAAAAACATACGTGAAGAAAATTAAGTCTTTAAATTCTTGCGAGTAAAAGTAACATCCTTTGTTAAATTTATTCACGTTGGCGTTATCAAGTAATCTTCCTCAAATATAATTGTTGAAATAGTTAAATTAATTTGATGATTAATGAACTCTAGAACGCTATCGATATTGAACGATGCAGTATTGTGTTATTGAGAGATACGTGAATTTCCGAAGAAAAAAATAGACTACTCTTAATGTAATACGATTAATTTAACACAAGATTTTGACACATTTTACTTGCAGTGTATATATAACAAAATATTTATAATTTAAATCTTTATATAATACAAACACAAATGACTTAATTATTTATCTCTTTATGAACCGGCGACCCCGTTTGGGATGATTTCCTTTTATTTTATAAACTATTCGCTCAATTTTTATGAAACTTAGTTTACAGGATAATTTGATAATGTTTTATTTAAAAATTAAGAATACATAAAAAATGCAAAATGGTAAAATATCAAGTGGACAAAATTTCAAAAATTAATTTGATTATCGCATAAAACTAGATTTTAGCAAGTTAATTTTTAATTGGAAAGTAACATCAAGTTTTGCGAAGCTCATCAGTACTACATAAATAATTAGTAATAATTTCCAAATTTCTGATTATAAACCCTGTGATTCTCCTTCATGAAGGTTATTATTCTCTTGAAATTTGATATTTTTATAAAGCTAAATTTAAATTCAAAGATACCAAAAACCTTCTAAAACTGCGTTTCATGACAATCAGATTATATTTTGAAATTTTAATTTTATAGAATTCTGAGACTAGAATCCAATAATCTTGAAAATCTTAAGAAAATTAGATCTTCCATGGAGTTACTTTAAAAAGCTCCAATCGTCAAAAAGTTAAAAGGAAAGAAAAAAATAAGCATATTATCAAATTCAATCTTGCTGACTATTGAAGGTATAATTTAAGGCTCAATGATCTTGTTCACTTGCATGTTAAACTTACGTAAGATAGCGTTCTATGGTTAAAAATTCCATGGTTTACTGTTCGTGATTAACCTCTGTTAAATTACTGTATAAAATGCACATCGATTGAAATGGATGACGTAACGGTGTGGAAAGTAGGTACGGCTAATTGGTACTTTCGCAGAAGGCGGTGACTCCGAGAGTGGTCACAAGGGCGGCAATAAGGCGAAGAGAGTTAGGACCACTTTTACCGAGGAGCAGCTCTCAGTTCTCCAGGCGAATTTTCAATTGGACAGTAATCCCGATGGGCAGGACCTTGAAAGGATAGCGCACGTAACTGGACTCAGTAAGAGGGTAACGCAAGTATGGTTCCAAAATTCAAGAGCAAGGCAGAAGAAACACCTTCACACCGGCAAAATAAAGGGACAGCATGGTAAGCATATCGCATTAAAACGTCTATCCATTAATTGTTACTTACGTTGTTTGAAATTTCTAAAAATTCTTGCGCTTAAAATAATAAGATAAATATATTATTCTGGTATTGGAGAGAAAAAGTTAAGATTCTAAACGTGATAAGCGCAAGCACGACCTCTGTTCCCATAAAGTGTCGTCGCGATTATATGCAATCGATAGATAATAACTTTAATTATCAGCATCGAAGGAATGAATTTTTTTGCAGTTCACCAATCGCCACCGAATTCTACCGCGTCGCCCAATGATTTCGGTCGTCACATCAATCTGCATCTGACGTACTCGTTTCAACATCAGCAACAGCATCAGCAGCAACAACAACCGCAGCTTAGCCCAGCCACGTGCAAGAGCCCGACAGGCTCCATTTATCACAATCATGGTAAGAGGTCGTTCTCAATATCCCTGCGCGTCGGGGAACTACATGAAAGATTGTTACAACGATCGAACACTTTAGATTGGGAAAATTCGACAATCGATTAGAGATTGAACAGGATCGTACATTTACGTGTAATTGCGATTCCATTAACTCTGTTCTCAGGGTCGGAGCAGTCGATGGACGAGCTCTCGCAAGACTCGATGCTATTATCTATGCCGAATGAGGTTTAATGGCGATTTCAATTATATTGTAAATACTCGGCGTTGCTTCGAAAAAGCGTCAGAAGGTAAAGAGAGATCCACGCCTCGAGCAAGCGCCATTTCATGCCCGCGGTTCTCGTTTTATTTATCCTCAAGGAAAGTGGAAAATTCACTCGTCGCGCTCTTCGATGACGCACTTTCGAGTTTCGCTCGCAACGTATATTGTATCTTGCGCTCTCGGTGTTGAATCTTACTGAAACCACAGTATTGTTCCGCGTTACACGCGAAAAGATATGTACGTGCGCACGTGTGAATTCGTGCGTATGTGCATATGCTTGTGAGTATGTGTATGTGTGTGTGCGCGCGCGTATGCGTGTGTAACTTGTCTGCAATTTTGAATCGATCTGTCTGCCTACCTCTTTCTTGGTTGTGTGTGAATTGTGATTTTGTACTCGTTCTTTCTCCTTCGTCTCTCTATTCTTCCTTTCGTATCGGTGCTTGATGCAACCAGAAGGGGATCGCTTTAACGAAGCCTTTAAAGCGAACATAGGCGTAAAAGAGAGGCGGATACGTAGGACATCTATTATGATATGATTCCGTTCGGAATGATTCCATTTCTTGTCACTTGATCTATTATATAGACATTCGGATTGCATTCGAAACGATCGAAAAGTTTTCTACTGCATTATTTGAAAAAGTTTATTGAAAAAACTTATTGAAAGAGTTTAAGCTAATATTAAATATAATTATTTTTATGATCTTAAAAGTGAAGGTTTATCTTCGACATGTTGCAGATTAAATTAAATTATTAATATATATTATTACTAAAAAATATATTATATAATATCACTTAATGTCATAATATATTAAGTAATATTATTATTAGGATGTTTAACAAAATTATATGATGAAAATTAATTTGTCATTTATTTATAATACGTCATAAGAACTATTATATTTAAGATTGACGTGTAATTATTTTACTTTATTACTACACGTTACAATTTTTTTAATTTTGTTTACATATTTTTGTATTATTTTTTTATTATGTATATGAAGTTAGAAAAAATTAAATATTATTTTTTTTTTATTTATATTATTTATCATCTTTTCACTATGGCGCTTAAATTTTTTCAAACTGATTGACAAAACAATTTATTTTGCACATTTCATATACATTTATCTACTTTTATTTTTATTGTCAAAATAATATGTTGTTCATGTAGAAAGCCTATTTCGTTCATTTTCATATTTCGATAGGATTTCTTAAGCTGAAGACACAAATGGAATCGTAATCAGAAATTCGCGAGTCTGAAACTCGTAATTCTGATCGGAATCGCGAACAGTTACATAATACTTAAGTGTCCTGAGAACGTCATCGCGGAGACGTAATCGCCGTCGCATCGTGTCGCGTAGCAATGCTTGAAATGAAAGTATCTTTCATAGTAATCTCTCAATAGTCATGTAAAATCATTCAATATGAATGTCCTGTGATGTAAATATTGTAAACTAAACGTATATAAATATATGCGATTGCACACGTTGAACAAAAGGATGGCCTTTGTTTTTTGACCAATCCAACCATCTCCTTAACTCCGAATATTTCCCGTGCGATATTCTTTCGAATTGTCTATTAACATCTGTAATCGGAGAAGTGGATAATAATGAAAGGGTAACAATTGCAACGATTAACAATAAAAGGCGTTTTATTAATAACAATACGGTTTATAATATTGCAGCGACAAGTATGCGATATCAAGTTCTGATCTTCATCACGCTTCTCTCTTTCTCACTCTCCACGATATACCTATTATATTTACCTACAGAAGACATATGTACAAAAACTACAATTCGTTCTATATACAATTTCGTACTACGGGTTAAACAATATCTACGTCAAAATTTCGAAAAATGGACGAGACAATCTAAAATCCTTCTTCCTCCATTTCGCATCGTCTAAGAGATTTTATTCACCATTGCAGATAGATGGAAATTGTTTTATACGCTCGGAATAAATAAGCTTAATCTAACTTTAAATACGAAAAACTTGTACCTTTCATACGTTACATATTATATTAACGATAACGCGCGCTTATTTTACATCTTGAAAAATGTTATATATACAGGATGATTCGCCTTAAAAACTCATGTAGTTATTAATTGAATCCGCTCGCTATATATCTTTTGTCTGACTTTTTGTGCACGGAATATAAGAAAAAAAAATAAATATGACTCTTTTCGAATTTTCAAAATTCTTGTCACGATTTTTTGTATAAATCTCCGAATTATATAATCATATAATGAAAGCACACGTAGTGCGAAGGGTTAACATAAACAGCTTCGTGAAAATATTTATATCGATCGACTTAACCCGCGGGATGGCAGAATTGGGCCTGCAGATGATTCGGCGTCGTCGGTGTGAGCGGAGTCAAAGGTGTAAGGGGCGTTAACGGGCTACCTGGACTCTCGCTACCGGCATTGCTGGCCTGATAACCGCCGAGATAAGCGCCGACCACGTTGATCCCACTAGGATACAGGTCGACTGGATGATGGTGCATCGGCGGCGAGTGATGCACTGCAAGCACACGAAAAGAGGCGTTTTGAATTCTCGAGGGAGTTATGTAAAAACTTTATACAACGTGTGCTTTCTACAGTAGTATCATTGTCAAATCGACGATCAATTTAACTTGTGATATTATCATATATTATTATTACAGCTTCAGTTCATGATTGTGTTTTCAGTTTAACAGCAATGGCGCACATTATTTATATAACTGACAGGTATGTTTAAAATTTACATAGAAACATTATTAGGCACTCGACTGCATTTGGCGCTTTCTTACTTCTTTGATTTACACTAAAATCTCGTAAAGCGCGCGCTGGGAATATAATAATGGCTGCATTCAGCGATGAAAATAACTTTGTTAATGTTGTAAAATTCTTTAATATAATTAGTCTTGTCTTAGTTTCTTCACTATAAATTTAAATATATAAACTAATTATATTAAAAAACTATATACAAGGCTTTCTCTGTTGAACGCAGCCAATAAAGTTGTCTTCACTTTTAAAATTCATAATTATATTCTATCGCTATCTCCGTTCATATTCGAGCCGAAATAAACTTTTCACGTGTGTGGAGTGGTCAACGTGCGGATATGGTTAAGAGTTAAATTTAAATAATAATAAATTAATTTGATTTAATTTCTATTTATTTTATTTATTTATTATTATACATACATTATGTATATAATGATAAATAAATAAATAAATAATCACATACATTTTATTTTTCTTCAATTATTTATTTATCACAGATGTATCCCCAAATATTATTTTTATTTATAATTCATGTATATGCTTTTCTGAATCTATTATTCCAGTCTTTTTCTTAAAAAAAAAAAATTAAATGTGGCAATGTGTGCTTCGAACGATTTTGGAACGTCAAACGTAATCACGTACACGTTTCTCTCCATTATACGGCATGTTCAGATTTCCACCCGAGTGCTCCCTAGGTGTCATGTCATCCTTGTTTAACATTTGGTAAACAATAAGGATAGAAGGATATCTGAGTGGCACTCGGGTGGAAATCTGAACATAGCCATATATGTGATCTTTTGCCACATTCGATTGATCATTCAAAGAAAAGGAGTTTCCGCAAAGAGCCAATTAGAGCGCAGCATTGTTTATTTGAGATAGCCAATAGAAAATCCAATAAGTTGATCGTTAAAAATTTAAGCTAGATGTAGCTACATGTGTAGAAATGCATATCAAAATTCACATGTATAAAATACTTTATATCATTCCACGTACAAATCGCTAGCCTTATACTCGCATGCATTTAGCGTAATATATGAAAAAATGTTTGCGTGCTATTTTGAGATCCACTATTATTATAGATTTTACATTTTAATGTAATTCATATAGCAATCTTGTTTAACTTGTTATTACTTACTCTGTGTCTTGATCTTGCCGCTGTGTTTTTTCTGCCTCGCCCTGGAATTCTGAAACCAAACTTGCGTGACCCTTTTGCTGAGGCCGGTCACCTGGGCTATTCTCTCAAGGTCTTGCCCGTCGGGATTGCTGTCCATCTGGAAGTTGGCCTGCAAGACCGCAAGCTGCTCCTCGGTAAAGGTCGTCCTCACACGTTTCGTTTTGCTGCCTTTGCCGCCGTGCTCGGAATCGCAATCCTCCGACGATGAAGTATTGTTACCCTCGACCACATCCAAATAGTGGGCCTTGCAGAGCAGTCGAGCGTCTAGAAGTGCGAATTGCTCGCCCGTGGAGAGTTGACGGGAGCAGGCGTCACAGGCGAAACATGCCAAGTGATAGACTCGGTCCTTAGCCCTCCTCACCCAATCCCCGGCGCCCACACTGCGCCCGCATTTCGCGCATTTCGCGCCGAATGTTCTGCAAAAACGCAAACGGTAGGGATTTCTCCCATGTGAAAGCCGCACGTGACGTGTTGCCATCAACTTTCGAACGTGCGCGAGTGTTAAAAAAAAAAAAGTTAATCGACGCGCGTAATCAATGACAAAGGGAGTCGGCTCGGCCGATCGATGTACCGGTGTACCGCCCATTTATCACCCACTTACCGTCATTCATCATTCATTGATTCACGCGAGTCTCTCTCTTTTTTGGCGCGCGGCTATACGAATGGACTCGGCAATAGCCGCGGCTCTCTCGCAGCGCATAACGGATTCGGTCGCGCGCGCGGACACACCGGTCGAAAATACTATTTTTATCCCGTCGATGGCAGGTTCATTCGAGACCTCCGAGAACGCGAGGACCCGGCAGCAGTCCTGTCCTCATTAACATATCTACTCAGCCACTCGGTGTCCTCCCGACGAGGCATCGGAGCCACCTCGGTTTAAGGATCGTTATCGCGATTCGAGGAGTAGATTACGTCGAGATTATTTCGATGTCTCAGTTGTGCAGCTTCCGACCCTATACAAATCGGCTCGATTTCTTTGAATCCACGCCGACGAGAGGAGAGAATCTAGCGCTAAAAGAGGACTCGAGGAAAGAGTCCG